CAAAATCTTAGTTTTTTTAATCAATATTTGGCAATTTTTTCATCTTTTCGACAACACCCTCGCACATAGTATTTTATTTCAGCTACGGTGTGCTCAGTAAAATAAAAATGTCTTTGTTGCCAATTTAAAGAACAGTATGTGATCAATTTAGCCTAAAAATAAATCATATCCTGACTCCTGAGAGGGATCATATGATCTATAATACATTATTACCCGTATCAGACATCTGAGCTGGTCATTTACAAAACCGTATTGCCCTAGTTTTCACTAGCAGTGGGAACGGAGGGGTATATTCTTTGTATTTTCCTTGGTCTCCCTGCGCGTATTGACTTTGCGTGTAGAGACGAGTGAAAATATACCTTGGTATTTTCCACGGTCTCGCATTTTCATTGCGCATCTATTAATATTATGCGTACGAGAACCTGCGCTCTTTGCGCGCACTCTATTGTGACGTAATAATCACACCAAATACACACTGTTTGTAGTGTATCGAAAATTTTGTCAAGCACTGGATGCACAGTGTTGGTTTGACAAAGTTTGTTCAGTTCTTGAGATTGTCATGGTGGATGTCTGTATTTGCTCTAGATGTCTGATTTGGATAACAATAAAAATATTGACTGGCTTTACTTTCGGGGGATATCAGAAATATTGACCGCGCTAAGACCATATTGCCCTCGTCTTTCGACTCGGGGCAATATGATCTGAGCTTGGTCAATATTTCTGATATACCCCTCAAGGCCAGTCAATATTATATAAATGTACAGAATAATGTACAGTACAATATACATGTTTGGGCAAATGATGCATTGCATACTTTACATCCTCATCATCCTCATAGGTCTGCCACTCAAACAATAGTAGATCACTTTAAAAGAACACTTTAGTCAATATAAATAATAAAAAGTCCACATTTCATAGGAATAAAAGATTTCAGGAGTTTCTTAAACTGGTCAACAGATGGAGCTATCTTCAGGATGGTAGGTACATGTAATTGGTTTCAGAGTGTAATTATCAAGCAATTTTTTTTGAGAGTCGATGCAAAGAGAGGATGGTGAGCATGCATCTTCCCCATATACTGTACATGTATGATGATGATGATGATGATCCATCACACTTATGGCGCTATTTCTCTGTTTAAAACATTCAAAGTTGCCCGCTCCTCCAATAGTTAAATGGACTACTTGCTCTACAAGATGGGTTTTGATGCCTGCTTTGAAACTTTCTAGCTTGTCGGTGTTGCAACGAACAGGAGGGAAGGAGTTCCAGAGGCATGGAGCAAATGAAGAGAAGACTAGATCACTATATATCCGGAGTCATGTACGTGGAATTTGGAGAAGATATCTGCAATGCATTTAGTTCTACAACACTTGCTACATGTGTACATAAAGCGACAACTGCTCTGTGTCCAATTTCCTATGTACACTGTACACTCAACGTATTCCTAACATAAAGCCTGTACCGAGCACCATACATGTACCATCTAGTATATCTACATGTAAACTAAACATCACTAAAACCAAATCACAACCTTAAACCTAAATCTCACCTTTGACAAATGTTGAAGGAGCAACTATCGAACCACAATTCATGTGTATCATTATTGATGACTATGTAATAACAGATCAAGGAGAGCGACAAAAAAACCTGACACACTGAAGTACTGATTATTTGATCCTTGAGAGGTTAGAAGGAACTGTCTGCTAGTAAATTCATTATATTTTTTTCCCCTTCTTCCTTAAAGATGAAGTTGAGTTCTAGTCATGTGATTGCATTGTGAAAGAAACGGGTGTGGTTCGGTCAGAAAAAGTTGATCATGTAGCATATTGTATTGGTGTGTACTGTAAGGGACTGGAATCATCAAAATGATAAGAAATTTGGCCCAGTCTTGGTAAAGTAAGGCCAAGTAAAAAATATTCATTTTTAGCATCCCCGCCCACTTCCTTTTTTGGGGGCTGCCTCCTTTTTTTCTTTCTTTTTTTGTAATAATTTTTTTTTTTTTTTGAAAAAAAAAACATGAAAAACACTGCTAAAATGATCTACCGGTATTTCTGATTTTAAAAAAAAAAATGCTGGTGGCCATTTTGAAAAATAGCCCGACTGTCAGGGAAAATGTACCAAGCGGCCATTTTGAGCGGCCATTTTGAGCGGCCATTTTGAAGAAAACAAAGAAGAAAAAAAAGGGCCTCCTCCTTCCTATTTTTCAAAAAGGCAGGACGCAAAACATGTTTTTTTTTTTTATTTGGCCTGACAAGCACTGTACATGTACAGTACATAAACATGTGACATAAAAATGAGGTCCTCATTTTAAAGGGAAAGTTGAGTTCTGTTTTCATATCGCAAATGCATGGTTATTGCTCTTATTCTTATCTACCGGTATGACATTTCTAGTGCCCTTTTAGGACCTAAAATTGCTAAGAAAGTAATTTTGGACCCCAAAATGTGTGAAATTTAGCCAATACGATCATACCAATTCAGCTCTACTTTAACAAAAATACGGTGACCGTTAATTAATTAATAAATTAATAATAACAATACATGGGCCACCTGATTGTGCGTAATATAACCAACACAAAAAAGCCAACAAAAAAGCCAACATCGCCATTGCCCGAAATACAACGTAAAAGGCGCTATTTTGTCTTTTCAACAGCATTCAATGGCTGACCCAATTATGTAATATTTGTGGTGGTATACAAGTATTAGAAATTGTTATATTTATGGATATTTCAGCCGTCTCTGAACCGATTTTGATCAAACAAAGATGATTTTGTCATTTAAATTGTATGTTCTTTCAAATTTGACACCCAGTTTTTCATTATCTCACAAAAAAAATTGTTTTGTGTAGCGCCCTCTGCAACAGAAATGAACTATCCCTATAAGCTGTTACATGTCATATTTAGAATATGAAATAATATGAAGGCATTTGAAGAGCCATGCTTTCCAGGGAACATTTTTTCTCTGTTGTTCTTCCACACTTGCAAAATAACCAATGAAAACGCTCACAAATTATGTTTCACCTCTCCCAAGTACTCAACCTTCTCTTTAATTGAACGCTAAAATAAAAGTTTATCTGTTCAGATGTTCTCTTCAATTCATGGGGTGATACACACTGTAGCTCCACTTCATTTACATTATGTACAATGTATATTTACATACCGGTACATGAAATGTACATGAATGTAGACGGCTACCAACTATACATACAGTATGTACATTGTTTACAACATATTCAAAAGCTCTAAACATTTCCTAATGTGATGATATCAATGAAATTTCCCATCTAAGGCTTGTTTACAACAAAAAGTAATATTACTATAGAAATTTAATTGTAAATCATAACATTATTCCAAGACAATGTCAAAACATGTCAAAGTCATTTAACATATTTTGCAAATGAGTTTGTGTTTGCATACATATATCATTGCATCTCCTGGCTGAGTGATGCATTCTAGATGCCCACATTTCAACTAAAGGCCACAGCCCCGCCCATCCACACAGAGAGTGCCAAGTTCCCATGTGAAATCATGACAAGGGCATGCTGGGACAGGCAACAACCCAACACATCAAATGTCAATCATAACCAGTCACCTTGATTTTATAAACAGCAAACCACAGCTGTAAACGTAAACATTCGGATGATGATTATAGCAGGTACAAATTGGTAAATGTATGTACCGGTACATTTAGTTTATATCAAGTTTGAAATTTGAACCTTTATCTAAAATGTACAAGTAGGTTTACAATCGGTAAGGAAAGTAGGTTTAACAAAAAGTTGCATAAAAAACCATACACATGTGTGGGATGTCGTAATTAAAAAAAAGGGGGTGGATACACTGCATACAATATCTCAAATTAAATCTGATTTTTATTCTTTTTCTTAAAGTTCTTAAACTACTCCATAGGATCTGTCCACTATAAGACATACAATGTAGAATCTAGCATTCGGGTTGAACAATTCCAGATTAGAAGGTGTTCCATTGTCTGCTCATCCAAAATGGCGCACAGTTTGTACTTCTTCATTAAATGTATATCACCACATCTGCCTCACAAATTATATTTAAACACATATAGTTGGTGTACTGTCTGATGTAATCAAATCCCATTGGTTTCTACCAGTCATATTGAGAAACTGGAAAACCTTCCAAAGTGAATAAGTATAGAACAAGTGAGAGTGTCAAAACTAACACTTAGCCAGTATTCTACAACTTAGCCAATATTGAAATAATGTAAACACAACTGCTAATCAATATAAGTTGCCTGGGTAAACAACGAATGGAGAGTATTTGTTTAGACACAAATATTGCACTACACCATCTTCATCAAATCCCAATTGGCTAATGTTTTGATGCTGTTCAATTTTCATCTATTAAAACTCTCCCTTGACATAAAAAATCTATTAGATTAATTTCAGACAGTTTTGTGACTGTTCCTATTCGACAGACTGAAGTAAGCCGCCAATTTTCTGATCGCCAGTGGTTGTCGTTTTGGCGATTACTGCTCCCTATATGTCAGACAGCTGGTATAAACAGGCTGCTTACTTAAGTTTTCCAATTCTCATCTGAGGAAGGAAGATGTCTGATTTCTAGTAGGTCTTTTCTAGACATCGATACTGTTACAGGTACACTTTCCCTTTGGATGTGATAAAAGAACTTTGAAATCATTAATTACAACCATCCTGATGGAACTCTGTCATAAGATATCATACATGTTTACAGATTTCCCCTCTCAGCAACAAGAGGGCAGCACATAGCAAGAGTCATTTTTGTCCACCCAAAAAAGAACAAAGAATTAATACCAAAGGCAAAAATTAATGCTTTAAATGCCAAATTTCCTGACTTTACGGTTTGGCAACGATACAGAGGGAATTACCCAGTCAGTCCTATTATACTTTCCATCCTTTACATGTAGAACTAGTTATTATTTTTTATATATCCTGTTGTTACATATTAATATTGTGTAGCAGACGTCTATGTTTTTGTTTCACTATCATGAGTTAGTCTTACCATCAAGCAGTCGAGGAGGGTCCGTCTTTACTACATCACCATCTTTGCTGGAGTCTTCTATGATTCTGAATACAGACGGGATGATGCGATGCAGAACAGTACTTGTTCGCTTTGGTAATGCAGGCTGCATGGTAGTAAAGAAAAAGAGAAGAGTTGTAATGAGGGCCAAGTCATAAACTTTTTGTTCTTAAAACTGGTTTAAAAAAATTAATGACCAGTTTTGTCATAAAACTATTGCATGCTCTATAAAGTTACCAAAAAAAAATCAATCACTGAAATGTCCTGCAAGAGCAAAACAGCTCTCATCATCAATACCTTATCAACCATACTACACTCCTTAATCACCAAGCTTGACATGATGTGTACAATGTGATCATCTCTTTACGAGCAAGCATAATCTGCAAACTTTTTCAAGTACTTTTTTAATGTAGGATAATCATAACACATCAGGTCAATATGATACCATCTCTAATTCTCTACATCATCTTGATCAAGTAAAAATGTTCAGCTTTTAATTATCATCCCATGCTCATGGCAGCCAGTGATCTCGCTTCTTTAACACTGACACACACATTCAAGAACATGCACTGACAATCCTAGCATATTGTTCAAAGTCGCTGCTGTATCTAGTCACTCATACGAGGTGAGAGACGGCAAGTTATCCTGGGTTATTTGGGGTATGTACAGGTGTACAAATGTATGAGAATATAAGTGTAAATTACCCACTTTTAAGCCATTGCTGTGGCGTTTGTTTCCAGGAACAATGGCTGCTTTATCAGGTTTGGTTTTCCATGCATGTATGGATAGCCTAATAATAAGGGCATGGTGATAATATGAAATAGTCTATGTATGTACATGTATGATATTGATATTGATGATGAAAGTGATTAGTTTACTTAGGTGCACGCACAGAGTTCGCTGAATTTAGCGAACTCCCTGTTCGCGCGCAATTTTACTCTAATCGCTATCATCGTAAGTATTAAAAAAGTATAAAATTGTCAACGTGAAAACATATTTTCTCATGTACACTACATGTATTTGCATTTTAGGCAGAACCAAAATTGCGAACTCTGGTATTAAAGAGATCAGTGTTTTTTTTAATGTAAATCGCACGTTAACTCATTATCATCAGGAACATGTGGAAAGAAAGCAAATCGTGATTACTCCGGTATCAAAATCTCATATTTTTGGTTAAATTATTGACTGATTTCAAAGTGCTTTGTATAAGAAGAAAGAAGTGTCTACTAGCAAACTCTGAAGCCTGTATGCAATGTTTGTCGGGTGTGGTGCGGGAAGGGGTGCTTGTTTACCTACATGTAGTACCCTCTTCGTGCAGGGGTATGGGTGCTAAGGTTAGGCAATATCAATATCATATTTCATATTATCACCTAGGCGCATATATATGGCTATTGTGCAAGTGATAATCTGATTCTGACAAGGGGGATTAGGATTTTAAAGGCCACAGATGCAGATCTAAACATTGGCTTTTTTGGACCAGTACCAAAGCCATAGCCAACAACACTCTAATTCTAAACATGACCAAATATTGTATTTATTGCACAACAAAATACAAAAACAAACAAACAAACAAAAACAAAACAAGACCAACAAATATTTTTTAAATTAAAGGGTTTTTTTAAAACAAAAATAAATATGCTTTAGTGTCAGGTGCAGGCTCCTACAAAACAACCAGCCGAATAAGTATATGCAGATGTCTCATCAGCATCACCTACAGTCAGACTACAGTACAATCATGACAATGCTGCATCATATTCATACATGTAGGAGTAATATCAAAATAACAATCTTCAAAGTTCAGACGTAGATCGTGCAAATATATAGTCCAGCTGCTCAACATCCAATACCAGCCAGTCGACACCATGGGTCCGGGCGGCCGGGGATGCGGTAAGCTAGTGGGTAGGAAAGAGCCGTAGAATCGTCGCGGATGCCCGCGCGCTACCAGTACCACTACTTGCAGTGCCAGTGGGAGTGACAACAAATGTAAATGGTGCTTACCTTCTGTTTCTTTTTCTCCTCTTCTGCTACGTACAAACTTTCATTCAAATACGATTTGAATGAACCGGTATTTCTGTTTAGAGACATGCTGAATTCTGAATGACGAAGGAACCAATATTATATAACAGTAAATTAGAAAAAGGTCTTGAAGTATGATGATACCGGTGGACGTAAATGCCTATCTGTCCACCGCCATGTTTCCGCACAAATTGCATTGACAGGTCAAAAGGTCATCCAGTCGACGGGCGTTTCACATGTACATGCACTTAATTGTGTAGCCTTGAATTACAGCCTTTGTATTTGAACGAAATTTCATCACATGACCACGCCCTTTTTATGAAATTCTAACATCTCTCGCTACTGATGGATATTGTAGACGGCGATCCTGGAGGACCCCCCCCCCCCCCTCCCCCCCCCCCCCCCACACACACACACAGTAATAACGTATATGCATGATTTATAACATAATCTTCATTTCAGTTGAAGTCTATCCACCTTTCTGCTCGCAAAAGGGAAATTCCCATTTTTAAATTATACGTTGAAATAGTAGAAGGAATTAAACGAGGTATGTGCAGGCCACTTCTCACGAATTTCAAGTTTTAAGTATAACTTAGGAGGAAGAAACACTTCAAGTCAAACAGTTCTTTCCTATTAGACGGAAACGCAAAATAACCGGCCCTCGAACATACTTTTATTTAAAGGTAAAGACCAGTATTGGAAACGCCCCAATTTCAAAAAATGAAATGGAAGCTCTCATTACCAATCATGTGAAAGAATATGTTTTGACTAATACATGATGATAACAAATTTGCCGGGAAACTGCCTACTAATTCATATATTTGGTAAATTTGTTTCTCTCATGGTCTGTGAGAGATATAGGGTAGTCCCATATACATCTTTCTGTGTATAGTGCTTGTAACTTTACGAAGAATGGGCCAAATTTCTTATCATTTTGATGATTCCAGAACCTTGCAGGTGCTAGATGCTAGATGATCAACCTTTTATGATCGATTCCACAACGTTTCTTTCACAATGCAATCGCATGACCATAACTGGTCTTTACCTTTAAGAATTAAATTCCACTTGATTCCACCCCTTATCATTTACCAATATAGTAAATTAGTTTCGGGGGGTTTCTTCGGGAAATGTAGGCCTATATAATAGGCCCTATTTTCTCCTATATGATAACACAAGTAACACAAGATTTTAGTTATTCGAAATTATGAAAGTTGTTGTTATAGTTCAAGGAATTAGGCTACTAGAATATAAGGGCTACCCATTCCAATCAAAATGCAGCACCCCCCCCCCCCCGTATATAAAAGAACCAAAAATGAAGGTTTGATTGACATACATAATTATTATACAGTCATGATGACATATTTGAATGAAGTAAAAACAAAACATGTCAGACTATACTATTTTAAAGTCACATTCCGAATACCCCCCCCCCCCCCCTTCCTTCACTTCGCGACGCCCCTTGCACAGTTATGTTAAATTCGGACAAAAGTCAGACTGGGGACGATACAAGATTTTATAATGAGGAAATGGCAGAGAGGTAAGGGCAAAGCGGGCATGATATGGAAGCATTGGTGTTTCAAAAATGTATATCCCGCTCACGCCCCACCCCCAGTAGGGGGATCACACACACCACTTTAGTCACATATTTCGAGATACGCCACGTACTATGGTTATCTAGAATGGGTTCTACCATCCCATTCCAATGTTCCTTCCCCTTCACATTTCTTTATTTCCCTCTCTATCTATCGATATCCCTCCATCCACCCCTCTCCCAATCATCTCTCTCTCTCTCTCTCTCTCTCTTTCTCTCTCTCTCTCTCTCTTCTCTCTCTCTCTCTCTCTCTCCCTTTTCTCTTCCCCCCTCTCTCTCTCTCTCTCTCTCTCTCTCTTTCTCACTCCCTTTCTCCTATGTTGATGCTGTCATTTATATTATTGGTATTATAGGGGCCTACAATACGGACCTGCTGACCTATATAGAGTATGCAGGGGCGTGCCCGGGCCTCTAATGTAGGGGCGTATCAAGGAAAGATCGTTGCTATGCTTCTTGGGCAATTTAACTAGGATGATGTTTGCATAATTACTAACACAGATCGTAATTACTGCAGATTGATCATGTAGGATTTTTATAATGTATCATGATCGTTCTCGTTATGTTCAATTTGACACTAATATAGCGTATTTGAAGGAGGCGCATGGGGCATTTGTGACAGAGAAGAAAAACTGTAAGTCAATTATTATTGTCAGACTTGAAAATGCACGAAAATTGACATACTCTAAAATACAATAATCATAGTTGAAAAGAAAGAATGATAATCTGCTCGATCGCAACAGAACCTCGCACACTATGTATATTGGCTAGTGATGCCATACTTGCAAGTTGCAACTTATACGACAAGGGGTCATGAGGCGCCCCCTTTTTTATAATGTGATGATTGCCTTGGATTTCCGTATAAAGCCTAAAAATATTTTGCCCCTCGTGAGGCCAAGGTCTGGATACGCCATCGCCGTGATAGTTAACAGATTTCCAAACTGAGGGGGCTCAGGTCACAAGTATAAGCGTGGGTTGCATTATTTTTTGACTGAGGGATCAATTAATTTGTTGGCGGGTATCGGTTAGGGATTAACTTTTTACCCCAAACGTTAGATAATTATTATTATTTCTATACTTATTAATTAATTATTAGTTATTTTATTATATACTTGTTTTGTACCCCCCCCCCCCAAAAAAAAAAAAAAAAAAAAGAAGAGTGCCAGCGAACGCCCGGAACACTCTCAAACAGGGTAGACTTGAGTTTAATCGATATTATAGAGCCATATTTTGTGAATGATTTCTTCTAAAATAGAAGAATGGAGATATGAAAAATTAATAAAACTCACATGATTTAAAATAATAGAGATTCACACTTTTTTTATGCCGATAAATTGCAATCTCGGAACTGTAAAGGATAATTGACTTAATGCGACTTTGTCCACTGTGAGTATTATATTTATTTTCTTCTTTTCTTCATCTTCTCCTCCTCCTATATATACCCTCATGGGCTTCTTCGTCCTCCTTCTCCTCGCTTCTTCTTCTTCTTCTTCTTCTTCTTCTTCTTCTTCTTCTTCTTCTTCTTCTTCTTCTTCTTCTTCTTCTTCTTCTTCTTCTTCTTCTTCTTCTTCTTCTTCTTCTTCTTCTTCTTCTTCTTCTTCTTCTTCTTCTTCTTCTTCTTCTTCTTCTTCTTCTTCTTTCTTCTTCTTCTTCTTCTTCTTCTTCTTCTTCTTCTTTCTTCTTCTTCTTCTTCTTCCTCTTCCTCTTCCTCCATCTCCTCCTTCTTCCACTAATACCAAGTACAACTGACTATTTGCTGACTTAGTTGATGGAGTCTTTATCCTCAGTTGTGCTTCAACCCAAAACATACTGTTCTCCCCTCCTGTTCCCTGTCTAATTACTACTTTTTCAATATTTCTAAATTTTCCCAAAAAATTGGTGTTTTCTCCAACTGTAAGACTTTCTTTCAGGATTTTTGTTTAATGACATACAGCATCGGTAACGGTGTCAATGCCCTGCGTAGTATATATACCTTGTGCCAAAAAGGAAAAAGATGTCAATTATTCAGAAATAAGAACTGGATATAATCTTATTGGGCCATGTTGCGAATAGAGAAGGGGCTAGTCTGATTAAACTCTCCCGTGGGACAAACTATATGTTAGAAGACAGCTTTATCAAGATTTATCTTTTAGCTACACAGGTCGTGGAAGCGTTGCATTTATGCATGACTTGCCGAAAATGTTAAAGTTCTTGAAGATAAGTTGTTTATTCATTATTCATACATTCTCGGTTATAGAGGGGACAGGGGAGCTCACCACCCCCTCCCCCCATAAATTCTGCAAGCCTCCCCCCCCCCCCATTTCTTACACACATAGGAATTGAAAGTAAGAATCTCTAAGCCCCAGCGCCCCCCCCCCCCCACAAAAAAAAACACTCTATATATAGAACCGCACCTGATAATCATTCGTATATGCTGCTTGTAATTATCAGTTATTCTCTCCTTTTGTTTAAATTTTTCCTGTTCAATCCTGTGTATCCTCCGTTCTCACAGCATTTATTGGAGTAAATTATGCAATTATTTACAACATTTAATGATATAATCTACAGAACTTTTAATAGAATACTTTATTATTGTAGCCACCAAATGTGCCCACCACATAATTGTAAAGGAAAATACTCATATCATACAATTGCTAAACAAGTTTTAAATAAGACTGTTTTATTGCTTCGTATTGTAGGGCTTTATAACGATGACAGAATCACGAGAATTAATTGTAAATGTGTTCCGAGGTTCACTAACATTTGTTTAAAGAAACTAGCTGTAATCATGATTATATCAAATTATAATGTCAAATTTGCTTTGGTGTGTAGACATTTCAACAAAGACAGGAAAATAAAATGAAAAACACGGTGCGACATTTCCGCATACTAAATAGTGACTTCCAACATCTGAAATCAGTTATTGATGATAACTTATAAAGGCAACCGGATGCATATTTAATAACATTTTAATCATGTGAATATATATATATATGTCTGTCTCATGTGCAGTCTGTTTTAAATTTTGCTTAATGAGGCTTACTCTATTTTGATGGTTATGCTTTCTTCCTTTTTTCCTCCTCATTCGTCCTGCCTCGTTCAATACTTCTAATTCACCCGACCTACCAAGAATATGCAAAATAATATGTACCACAGACTGAAAATATCAAGAAGTTGATAAAGATGAAAGTATTCCCCCGGACCCGGGGGGGGGGGGTGGGTGCCATTTCGCATGCTTTAGACTAGATATCTATCCACTTAATAAACAGGCCTACAAGTAAGAGTGCACGGTCATTTAGGGAGTAATATTTTTTAGGGATTACTTCGTTTCGGCGTGCAAACCCGTGCACACTAAAAAATCAAAATATAACTAAAAATCAAAAATCAACATAAACGAACAAAAAATGAAATTCGCTCTCAAGGGAGTCATTGAACCATTACTTTGAGTATAATTTTGGAGTAGATTTAACTCCAAAACGACGTGATCGCTGAAATGACCCCTGAACAGGTATTGTATATGCAGTTGCAAGTTTAACATGTGTAGTGATCTTTTCTCCCTTGCCGTTCAAAACTCAGGGGCGCACCCCAGATTCACCCCATGACGAATACGTCATAATATTATTTTGGTAGCAAGAAACTTAAATATGCCAAATGGCCATGATGACTATATGGAAGTAGGCATAGTTTGACATCATAATATCTTCTCCCTGCATCCGGTTGCCTAACGAGAAATGTCAATCTAAGACGCTTACTCACCATGACCTGCTTGCTCACCATGTTGATGTAGAGTCGAAATGCCTGACCTAAATCGATCAGTTTCTTTCTGTAAGACGTAACATTCACCTCATCTAAACGTTAATGATGTCTGCATGGACCTTTGTAGTCATTTATTCAATCATATATACGACCTATACAACTATGCTCTTTGTATTTTCAATGCTAGCCTTCGAATTTATCATTGTAGACATTTATATATCATTATCAAAGTCTATGGTACACATGTACATGTAATAACTTGTTTTCTCAAAACATGGAATTAGAACTTTGCACTTACCCAGCTTAGGAGACCAAAGTGCGACATGAAATTATTATTTTCCATGATCCTGAATGAAGTCGATATATCTAGTATCCAATAATCAATAGTCCTGATCAATTAATTAGTGATCAAGTGCCGGGCAACTATATAAACGCCCGTGGGAGAACGTTTACTATCCGTAGCACAGAAAAATCCACTCAAACGTGCCCTATGCATGAGAGGTGAAAAGGTGCACCTTTGTATCACGGGCATGCAAGGGATGCTCACACGCATCTATATAAATCAGCAACCTAGATAGCTGTTTGTGAAGTGTTTCAAACTTCCAAGTTCACATCTGCTAATTCCAAACTATCCAAGGCTGATTCTGGAAAGGTCAGAGGCGAACGACACCATAACCTGTTGCAGACATTCGCCTCATGCTATCAAAGCAGAAAGTTTCTCTGATGTCTTCCGCGTGTCTGCATTTGAAGTTATAGTCCATGGGAGAGAGACAACAAAGTTTGAAGAAAGTTAGACAGCGCGAAAGAACGAGCGGTGAAAAGCACATCCGATTTGTAATTGCGCCTGCATGTGTTGCAGTTGGCCCTAGCTACTGCACTAGGTCGAAGAGATTCGTCTTTGCCAACGGATCCCGTCTGATGAGTGATAGGGTAATACAGACAGTTGCGACAGACGAACAGAGAGAGGGAGAGAGAGAGAGAGAGAGAGAGAGAGAGAGAGAGAGAGAGAGAGAGAGAGAGGGGTGGAACTCGAAGAGACAAAGAGATACACCGTAAGAGAGGCAGAGGTATGCAGAGAGAGGTGGGTGAGTCAGAGAGAGAGAGAGAGAGAGAGAGAGGAAGGGAGAAAGAGCTAGAGAAAGAGAGTGAGAGATAGAGGGGGAAGGGGAGATGGAACTCCAAGAGACAAAGAGATACACCGTTACATGGTTAGAGAGGCAGAGGTATGCAGAGAGAGGTGGGGGAGCCAGAGAGAGAGGGAGGGAGAAAGAAAGTGAAGGGAGGGGAGGAATGTGAGAAGGGTTCAAATTTACATAAAATTATCTATTAAAATGTACACTCATCTTTATTTTCAGTTATTGATGGAGGTATTAGGACGGTAGTTATATTATATATCATTCTATTAGGAGGACTTTAACATAATAATGCAGGGGATTTTCTTTTTTCTTCATAAATAGACTTCATAATTCGGCATATTATTATGCAAGGATATTAATGCTAGATAAGATTATTTTTATCATCTATAACACCATGGCAGGAATTAAACAAACAAATGTTTTCATGTATAATTTCTCTTTGCTTGTATTTCGTTCATTGTCATAGCTCCTTGATTTTGTTGTGCTGTACCCGGCTGTTTTGAGTGTTGCTATGTTTAGATATCTTCGTTTTTGTAAGGTTCGGCTGTTGTGTGATGTCATATTTTCTGGCTGCTGTACTTTAACAAGCAATGTTATGAATGTTATTGTCAATATGTTACCATTGTGATAAAGATTATCGTATTTGTTTAATTAATTCTACAAGATTTGTATCAGTTTTATCATTTCATTTTAACGGAGAGGGGGCCTCAGTGAAAATAAACCACTGAATTTGACAAAGTTGAAGCATATACATAATAATCAGATATTATTGAAATAATTTTAGGCTATTCAATGTGCTGTGAAAGGTTGATTCCCTTTTTTTATCAGACGGTATATCAATTGACTTTTTGTTGTTGTAGAGTACACGAAAAGTAAGTTCAAGGGAGGAGAAAATATCCGGAATGATTTTAAGATTGTTCTATGTTGCAACAGTTGTCAAATAGATTTACAAGTTCGAGGGCGGATCAGGGGAGATGGGGCGAGGGGGGCGGTCGATCACTAATTCTCTCCCTCTTTTAATAAGTAGCAAACTTTTGCGATACGCTTTCGAGGGGTCCGCGGGCTTTCGCGGTACACAACATGTCGCGGTATAGTCATGTACATATTGTGTTATACAACAAGATATAACGTCCTTTAAAAAGTTCATGATCTCATACACTCTTCCTAAACATAGCCATCATTTTTCATTCTTGATTATTCTTCGATTATACTCTATAATCAATCTTGATTATTCGCAGTTTTCTCTGTCGATTCGTAATAATGGCCTTTCCGTTTCACATTTACCAATTCTGTAGAAATGGCCTCACTGCAACAAGCCCTTATTGACTCAATATAGTCTCCGTAAATTGTCGCTGTAAACAAAATTGTATGCCCATACACTCAGGATGTGTCATGTTAAGCAAGGTCCTAAATGTTAATTAGTCATCTGTGCTCACTCTATACTTGTCCTGAGTTATAACGTCTTAATAATCGCCCGGATATTGCAGGTGACGGGGTTTCAGACCTTTTTAAAAATTCACATGCAGACTGATCATCGTAGCCTTCCATTTTATACAATGTTATGACGGAAATACGTGAGGTTTTGCTTCACCGTGGTTACTAGTTTTAATGTATCACCTTTTAAGAGGGGGGGGGGGGGAGCAGAATTGTCGATTTTTTTTTTGCTCGTCGACCCTTTCACTTCCCTTATTCATGACGAAAATTAGGCCAGTGACCCGTCCTCGGTGAAGAAGTTTCTATCACGTTGTGTTCTACTAGGATTGTTGAAAAAAAGTTGTTTGCTTTTACTTAATTCATTAAAAAAAAGCAATTTGACTTTCTTCCAGAATCCAGAGTATATGTAGCCTACCTTATTTATCATCAATTTGTCATACTGAGTTAACGATTTGTGATAGTCTCTTTTCGAGTATTTTTGTCCACATAATAATGGACCTTAAACATAACTCCGAATTCGTCTAAAGTAGATCATTTCAACTTCATGGCAAAACGTAAATAAAAATTAGAGCATCCCAATAAAACTTGTTAAAATGCCAAAAAAATTGTGATCCATGTTACGGCCCTTAATACGCATATAACACGTCCCTCACCAGGCGATGACGTATTGTCATGACATCATAACCATGCAACCAATTCTAATACTTAGAAGTACTTCTTTCTCAACAATAGGGCAGGGGTTATAATACCTCAGAAACTTGGAAACTGGTAATAACATTTATGACAGCAAAACAAACTTTGGATGATTAGATGCAGTATATAGTGTTAGTAGTAGTATTATCAGTAGTAGTAGAAGTAATAATAATAATAATAAAAATAATTGTACATTTATATTGCGCACAACTCTGCCAACATAATGGCACTCTTGGCACACAGATCAACAAATCAAATCCATTACAAGAATATGGTCATCAAATCAAATACATTACATGAATATGGTCAACAAATCAAATACATTACAAGAATATGGTCAACAAATCAAATACATTACAAGAATATGGTCAACAAATCAAATACATTACAAGAATATGGACAACAAATCAAATACATTACAAGAATATGGTCATTAATCAAAATTCAACAAATTATATTACAAAATGAAAAGGCGACAAATGGTCAACCTAACTACAGATATAACTAATAACCAAAATTAATACACAATATTCTATCTCAGACAATAATCCTTACACTAACGGTACGCCTTATTCATCAACAAGGTCTTCAATTTTTGTTGAAAGGTTCTAATTGATGAGCTCAACTTCAAGTCCAAGGGTAGGGCATTCCAGGCAAGTGGGGCAGTAGAAGTAGTTAGTAGTAGTAGTAGTAGTATAGTAGTAGTAGTATTGTGGTTCAAGGCATGCCCACATAGAGGATTTTGTTGGGGGTAGGGGGAAAATGCAATGAATTATTGATGATTTATTGCATTTTCTTTGTTTTTTGTATTTGTGGGGGCGGCGACGTACCCTAGCCCCCGCTGCGTACAGTCATGATACAGTGGCTCAGCAATGGCCTCATTACTGTGAGCCCCCAGGATCAAAACCGTGTCGATTGGCTATATTAGTGCCCTTTTATGAGGCATTAATCCTCATTACTGTCAGTTATGACTTAAGGACGTAGGTCCCCTAGTTGATTAGCATACAAATGCTTTAGCAGTCACGCAAAACAAACACTCACAAATTAGTATGCAATAAAATCTGAGAATGTATTCTATCATCTAGATCTATTAGGAATAAATCATTGTCAAAATCATTCCATAAATTGGGGTAAAAATAATTATTGCACCATGATTATGACCAACAGTGTACTACTATAATGACTTAGTATTGCAGAAATACATGCTAAGTGCGCTTTACAATTAAGTTGACAGAATCGATAAGTCAGATCATGGATAAGATTGAGAATTATTTTGTTATTATAATTATACAATCAACTCTTTGGAATTATTTTGTTAGTCCGTAATTGTGTGGAACTTAATTGACATGTTTCACCGCCCATACCATCATTACGTTATACTGAACTTGAAAGTAGAACATTTAGGCCTACGTGGGCCCAGAGAAAGCGATTTCAAGATTTAAAAAGGAAAAACATTGCCAAACCGAGTTAATCCTGTTTGATACCCATGACTTTATTTGGTAAACAGACACCATAACCGCAAGTTATATGAACAACGGCAAACAGGTTGCTATGGACAACGCTAGAAGTTGAATCGAAATGTCATTCTTTTTGTTTGTTTCGTTCTAATCGTGTTTTTTAAAAATAATTTTAATACGTATTATATTGAATCATATTGCACATAGGAACGCGAAAGGAAACCATAATCTTAACGCAGTCTGAAGGACTATTCTCGTACTTATGCGAAGTGGGGGTTGTGTGACCAAAGACATTAGACAATAGTTTGGCAAACTAACCTTGATGGGCGGATTATTATTTTACCTATTTTGCTTGTAAGTAAGCAACCAGGATACCGACGGCTTCGCGTGACTTGGTATTGAGGATTTATGCCTTACTAAAGCGCACAATCGAATCGAATCGGGTTTCGAACCCGGGGCCTCTCGGTTACGAGACCACTCCACTACCACTGAGCCATCGCGCCTCCTCGACTTGCTTTAACTTTGTCACAACATGCGGGTATTTCTTTTGTTTGTGCCTTCGCCCAACATAGCGGTATTCCCCATAATTATTGTAGTCAACTAGATCCGGGATTGCTCTTGTTTGTGACATGGTTCTATAACATAGCCAAACAGGGGCTCAAAATCCCACATCTTTCCCAGAAAGCATGATCACTTTCATTTAACGAAACGAAGGCGTACTTTCTCGCCCATGGTGCAATTTCCGCTGAAAATTTTGACGATGTTCAAATTATTTGGACAAGTGCCTTCGTTGATGACGTCGTATCAGAGGATGTTGTCATCATGCTTTGTTCGGTACGAGCATAGGCGCCGGAAGTGGGGGGGGGGGGCAGTTGCCCCCCCCCCCCCCCCCCCAAAAAAAAAAAAAACAGTAAAGGAGTAAACATGGTTTGTATTTTTAATCCTAAAGAACGTAACAATAATAAAAACCTGAATTAAATCACATATACAATACCATTCAAAGAAAAAGGAAAGTTCAAAGGAATTAAATTTCATAAACATTGCGCATGCCACCTATACGGTATTTATCAATGGAGGTCTCTATGATAGCG